ACTACAAAGAAATATAGGGAAGGGACTACAACTAGGGATAAAGAAAAGCAAACCACACAATACTAAAAACCCAAGAGAAGGAGATCTTTTCACTGTTAGTAAACATGTTAGTACCAGTGTTCCCTCTAAACTGAGTTAGTGTGAGCTCTAGCTCACAGTTTTTTAGCCTCCAGCTCAGAGATTTTTGTCTTAGCTCAGGAAGGAGGGCTCCAGAGCAAACTAATTGATGCAGGAGCCAAATCGCTCGCTCACAACTTTAATGCCAGTAGCCCACAAAGTAGAACTTTTGCTCACCCGACCCCACAGCTTACAGGAAACATTGGTTAGTACCATTAGTTTTATTATCACAATATACTTGTTGAGTTCTTGCTTATTTATATTCTGCCTCTCCAGATACCTGTTTAAGGCAGTTCACAAACATCAACAATGCACACTACATAAAACATCAACATTAAAATGTCAAGAAGCCGGCACGGGGGCATGAGAACAGTGTGAAGTACCCATTTAGTAGCCTCAAAAATATCCACTGAAAACTTCTCAGGAGAGAAGCAGACTGTAAAACAGCAAAAAAAAGATCAACGCCAGCCAACGTTAAAGCCCGGTTGAAAAGCTGTGTTGTGGGCTGGTGCTTCAAAGACAGTAAGGTGGGCTCCAGGCATGCTTTGGAGGGGCCACCACTGAAAGGGCCCTATTTCTGGTGACCATCTAGGCCTGTCTGTAGGGGCACAGGGAGCAGGGTTTGGGAGACAGACTGTAACTGAGGGGAGGACACTGTGGCAGAGGAAGAGCCTCAAGGACCCGGGCCCCGTTTAGGGCCTTAAAGGTGATAACCAGCACCAAGGAAGGTACCCCATTGGGTCCATCTAAAACAGCAGTTCTCAACCTGTGGGTTGTGACCCCTTTGGGGGTCGAACGACCCTTTCACAGGGGGTCGCCTAAGACCATTGGAAAACACAAATTTTCGATGGTCTTAGGATAGGGCTCCCAATTTGTAACAGTGAAAATATCAGATATTGATAAAATCAGTCCATCCTAAAAGAAATCAACCCTGACTGTTCCCTGGAAGGCCAGATATTTTGAAGCTCAAATACTTTGGCCACCAAATGAGAAGGGAGCACTCACTGGAGAAGACCCTGATGCTGGGAAAGTTTGAAGGTCAAAGAAGACGGGGACGGCAAAGGATGAGATGGTTAGACAGTGTCATAGATGCAACGAACGTGAAATTGAACAAACTTCAGAGGACGGCGGAAGACAGGAAGGCCTGGCGGGAGCTGGTCCATGGGATAGCGAGGAGTCGGACTCGACTGTGCGACTGAGCAACAAGCAACATATCAGATATTTACATTATGATTCATAACAGTAGCAAAAATACAGTTATGAAGTAGCAACGGAAATAATTTTATGGTCGGGGGTCCCCACAACATGAGGAACTGTATTTTTTTTTTAAATATATGTCTTTATTGTATTTCAAAACAATCATACAATCATACATACCTCATAACAATCACATCAAAATCTTATCACCCAACAGTCATCTTCATTTAATTCATAACCTCCACCTCCCATAAACCCATAACACCACCGCAGATCTCGTCCGCTACAACAATTTAAGTCAGGATTCCCTTCTTAGTTGTTAAGCCACCTATAAAACGGTGACCATACGTTCTGAAAAGCAATGCTCATCTTTCCATTAATTTTCTGTGTTAAACAGTCCATCTCTGCAACCTCCAATATTTTCTTTATCACCTCTTCTTTGGACGGTACTTGTTCAGCTTTCCATGACTTTGCAAGTAAAATTCTAGCAGCTGTTATTACATGCAAAACTAAATATTTATCACTTCTTTTCCAATTATCAGGTAGAACATTTAACAGAAAAAATTCAGGATCCAACTTAATTTGTTTTTTAATTATCTGTATTAACATCATTTGTACCTCCCTCCAATATTTATGAACTTCTTTGCAAGACCACCATACATGGAAATACGATCCCACCGTTAACTTGCATTTCCAGCATTTATCATCTAGTCCATCATATATCCGTGCTAACCTTTCGGGCGATAGATACCAACGATGGATTACTTTATACACATTCTCTTTCAATGTTATGGCTTTCAACCATCTTATATTGGCCCATACTTTTTGCCATTTCTGCTTATCAATTTCGTGACCTAAATTTCCTGCCCAAGTCTTTGCGGTAACTTTCAACACCACGTCTTGCATCTCATGCTTAAGTAGGAAAGAATATAGTTTGGCTATTATCTTTACATCTTCTCCCAATAGAATTTTATCTAATTCTGATTTCTCCAAAGTAAAGCCCACTCGTTTATCTTTAACAAATTTCGAAATTAATTGATTTTTTTCCCACCATGAAAATCGTAGCCCGCAAGCCTCCATATCATGTTGTGATTTTAATTCAGCATTTTTGTCGAGTAATACCTCATAGGTTGAACTTCCTGCCCCTGATATTAAATGTGGTAGCATCATTGCTTCTAAAGGGGCAATCCAGCATGGTATCTTATCGTAGAATTTAACTTTAATTTGGTTCCATACTTTCAATAGACTAGATCTAATTAGGTGTTGCCTAAAGTATGTAGATGGCCCTCCTGTTAGGGTTGAATGCCAACCTGTCAATAGATCAAAACCTTCTAGACATAACAATCTGTTATTTTTCAAGGTCACCCATTCTCTAAGCCAAGATAAGACCGCCGCTTGATAGTACAGTTGCCAATTTGGTATGGCTAATCCTCCGTTTTGAGATTTCTCTTGCAGAAATTTTAATCTAATCCTAGGTTTTTTATTCTGCCAAATGAAACGCCCGACCAATCTATCTAATCTTTGAAAAAAAATTGCATTTCGCAATACTGGTATGGTTTGAAATAAAAATAAGACTTTTGGCAAAACCACCATTTTTATAGCCGCTACCCTCCCCATCATTGATAACTGTAATGTGGACCAAATATCTAATTGTTTCTTCATATGGTCCAGTAGCATTTCATAATTGTCTTGGATCAAAGAGCTTGTTTTATTCGTGATGAGTACCCCCAAGTATCTAAGTTTCTTTACCACTTTAAACATTGTGATATCTTCAATTTTCTTAATGATGTTTTCTGTACAGTTCTTTGTCAATACTTTAGTTTTAGCAGTATTGATTCTAAAACCAGCTAGCTGACCAAAATTATCGATGGTATTTATTAATGGTATTAATGATTCTATGGGTTCCAACAGCACAATTGCCATGTCGTCGGCATATATTTGCAGCTTATACTCTTGAGCTCTAACCTTGATACCTTTTATGTTTCTCACATTCCTAATGGTCTCGGCTAGTCCCTCAATCACCATGATGAAAAGTAAAGGGGAAAGCGGGCAGCCTTGACGCGTACCTTTTCCTATGCCTATTTCCTCTGACATATCCCTGTTAATAATAATCTTTGTCGCTTGATTCTTATATATTGTCGCTATTCTGTTTGAGAAGTCCTCTCCACATCCCATCTCTTTAATATTCTCTACCATATAGTCCCAATTGATGTTGTCAAACGCCTTCTCGGCATCAATAAAGACAACAGCCAGCTGCTTATCCGGGTTTAATTCGCCATATTCTAACACATCTAAGATCATCCTAATATTATGTCTCAAGTGCCTTTTGGGCAAAAATCCTGACTGATCTGAATGTATCAGATGTTGCAATATCAGTCTCATACGCTGTGCCAGGATGGATGCATAAATTTTGTAATCGACATTCAGCAGAGATATCGGCCGATAGTTTTTAATCTCTTTCTCATCTGTGTCTTTCTTGTGTATCAAGGATATCACCGCCGAACCCCAGGATTTTGGTATTTCCTTGTTTCCATCTGACATCACCTTTTTCAGCACCAGGCTAATTTCATTCTCAAAGGTGGCATAAAAACATGAGGAACTGTATTAAAGGGTCGTGGCATTAGGAAGGTTGAGAACCACTGATCTAAAGCAATAATATCTTTTGCGACAGGCAGTGATGCTTCAGAGAACGGGGCTGAGGCCTTCCCCCATGCCTCCTGGCCAGTGTTCCCTCTAATCTGAGTTAGTGTGAGCTAGCTCACAGTTTTTTAGCCTCCAGCTCACACATTTTTGTCTTAGCCCAGGAAGGATGGCTCCAGAGCAAACTGATTTATGCAGTAGCCAAATCGCTCACTCACAACTTTAATGCCAGTAGCCCACAAAGTAGAATTTCTGCTCACAAGACTCCACAGCTTAGAGGGAGCATTGGTCCAGGGCAAGTGATGTGTTGGGGGGCAGCCTGTATTTCCTTTATTTGTAGGTTTCTGTTAATTCTCCCTGGTTACGCTGCTCCTCTTTTAAGGAGTGCAGGCAGCATTTCTGATGTTATTCTATTTAAATGCACAACAATACTGTCATGCGGAAAACACAGGGAAAGAGTGATTGGCCCAAGACCACTCCAGTGCACTGTACAAATGGGGAGCTCACCTTGGATCTCCTGTGTGGATTCTTTGATGGTCAATAAGTTTTCCAAGTTTGGTTGTAAAATCCTGCTCCATGCTGGCTGACCAGCAACAGGTGCTTTGTAATGTGTTTGAATCCAGGAAGAGATTTGCCAAAGGGCCACCTGGTCCCATGTCTCGTTTCCAAGTTATCCAAATGGCAACCAGTCTTCAGAGAGATACCTTCTCAAACATGGAGATTCCACTGTGTCCCCTTGCCTCTGATGGAACTACCCTCCAAAGAAGGGTATTAAGAAGCCAATTAATATGTGGCAGGATTTCTCTCCCTTTTCAGTTATTTCTGTCCTGTTATTATTGAGAGCAGTTAATGTAGTTCTTTCCTTGATACTCTTCTCTCTTTATTGCAGAGGTTGATGGTCCCCAGAATAAGTCCAAGGGAGAACTACAACAGGTCCTGATGGAAGATAAGCAGCAGGGAAGAAACACTGGAACAAAATGGAAGAGGGGTAATGAATCCTCTTCTTCTCAGGGTGCTGAATCCCAGGTCTCTGATATGCACTGGAGAATCCACACGGGAGAGAAACCATATAAGTGCTTGGACTGTGGAAGGAGCTTTGCTCGAAGTGTCAACTTTATTACCCATCAACGTATCCACACTGGGGAGAAACCATATAAATGTTTAGAGTGTGGAAAGAGCTTTCGTCGGAGTGACAGCCTTACTGTCCATCGACGAATCCACCCAGGGGAAAAGCAATATAAATGCTTGGAATGTGGAAAGAGGTTTGCTTCAAAGAGAGCCTTTACTGTCCATCAACAAATCCACACAGGAGAGAAACCATTTAAATGCTTGGAGTGTGGAAAGAGCTTTGTTCGGAGTGACAACCTTACTGCCCATAGACAAATCCACAAACAGGAGAAACCATATAAATGCTTGGAGTGTGGAAAGAGTTTTGCTCGGAGTTACAACCTTACTGCCCATCAACGAATCCACACAGGGGAGAAACCATATAGATGCTTTGAATGTGGAAAGAGTTTTGCTTGGAAGGGAGCCTTTACTGGCCATCAACTAATCCACACTGGGGAGAAACCATATGAATGCTTGGAGTGTGGAAAGAGTTTTGCTCGGAGTTACAACCTTACTGCCCATCAACGAATCCACACAGGGGAGAAACCATATAAATGCTTGGACTGTGGAAAGAGCTTTGCTCATAGTTCACACCTTTCTTCTCATCATCGAATTCACACGGGGGAGAAACCATATACATGCTTTGAGTGTGGAAATAGTTTTGCTCAGAGTAAAGACCTTACTACCCATCAACGTATCCACACAGGGGAGAAACCATATAAGTGCTCAGATTGTGGAAAGAGCTTTGCTCAAAGTAGCAACTTTACTGCCCATCGACGAATCCACACAGGGGAGAAACCATACGAATGCTTTGAGTGTGGAAAGAGCTTTGCTTGGAAAAGAGACCTTACTGCCCATCGAAGAATCCACACAGGGGAGAAACCATATAAATGCTTGGAATGTGGAAAGAGCTTTGCTTTGAAGGGAGTCCTTAATGGCCATCAACGAATCCACACAGGGGAGAAACCATATAAATGCTTGGAATGTGGAAAGAGCTTTGCTTTGAAGGGAGTCCTTAATGGCCATCAACGAATCCACACAGGGGAGAAACCATATAAATGCTTGGAATGTGGAAAGAGCTTTGCTTTGAAGGGAGTCCTTAATGGCCATCAACGAATCCACACAGGGGAGAAACCATATAAATGCTTGGAATGTGGAAAGAGCTTTGCTTTGAAGGGAGTCCTTAATGGCCATCAACGAATCCACACAGGGGAGAAACCATATAAATGCTTGGCATGTGGAAAGAGCTTTGCGTGGAAGGGAGACCTTACTCGCCATCAACGAATCCACAAGGGAGAAACTATATGAATGCTTGGAGTGTGGAAAGAGCTTTGTTCAAAGAACTCACCTTACTTTCCGCTGACGAATCCACACACTGGGAAACCTTGTACGTGCTAGGAGTGTGGAAACAGCTTTCTTCATGGCGCCCATCTTACTGCCCATTGGCATACGCATACAAGGGAGAATCCATATAAATGCGTGTATGATGGTAAGAGCTTTGCTCAAAGTGACAACCTTCGTGCCCATCGACAAATCCACATAATGGGGAAACCATACAAAATCTTGGAACATGGAAAGTGGTTCACTTGGAAGGATCACGTTAGTGGCCATCAGTAAATCCACACAGGGAAGAAATATAAATGTCTGGAATGTGGAAAGGGTTTTACTTAGAATTGCACTCTTGCTACTCTTTGATGTATACACACTGGGGAGAAACCATATAAATGTCTGGAGTTTGGAAAAAACTTTGTTTAGAAGGAATATCTTGTGAAACCTTGAGCTTGTTTGTCAAAAGAGGTGGGTCAACAGTTACAGGAGCTAGTATTGTAACCAAGCATGTACATCTGCATCAAAAGGTTTTCAAATACAGAAGGTCCTGATATATAAAGATCCTATTGGAATCATCATTCAAAAGAAAGCAATGGCAAAAGCCTGTTCCATTTCATTGCGATGGCTGAAGATTCTGGAGGATAGCAACCCTAGGCAGAGCTGCTCATTCAGTATCCAGACTAGCATTAAATATTGGGAGCCAGCGCACCTCTAGTTTTCCACCCGTAACTTTCTTTGCAGTTGCCAGTGCAAGAGTGTACTGCAGACGTCAGCTTACTGTTATTTCAATTTTGTTTTTTTCCTAATTCCAGTCTCCTCCCCCTTCACCTCACCCCTGTGTTCCTTCTGGGCACTTTATTCTTCTACTTTTTTCTTCCAGGGCTCAGAATCTCCTTGTATCTGCTAGCCACCTGTAGGCATACTCCAGTATATCCCTTCAGTAGGGAAGCATTACTTGATTTAGAAAACTGATATGCCTTTACTCCAGAAAGCTGCACGAGACACCTCACAACGAAAATTAGAAAACCGAATAATCAATTAAAAACAAAACAGCTGAAAGAAATGGAGCCCCTTAGAAATGGAGCCTGGGTGGGAAAATGTGTGTTTGTTTGTTTGTTAAGGGTACAAGAAGGCCCAGAGAGCCCTAACCTGGATAGCCCAGGCAAGCCCGATCTTGTCAGATCTTGGAAGCTAAGCAGGGTCGACTCTGGCAAGTACTTAGATGGGAGACCTCCTTGGAATACCAGAGGCGGGAGGCGGGGGCAGGCTTTATTTGGTTTATTTAAGTGCGCGGACTCTAATCTGGGAGAACCGGGTTTGATTCCCCACTCCTCCACTTGCACCTGGCTGGATGACCTTGGGCAAGTCATAATTCTGATAAGAGCTGTTCTTGTAATTCTGTCAGAGCTCTCTCAGCCCCACCCACCTCACAGGCTGTCTGTTGTGGGGAGGGGAAAGGAAAGGAGTTTGTAAGCCGCTCTGAGACACCTTTGGGTAGTGAAGGGCGGGGTATAAATCCAATCTCTTCTTCTTCTTCTTCTTTATTCAGCCATCTCTCTGAATATCCTCTAGGCCCCCAGTAGGAGTTGAGAAAGTAAGAAAAGGAGGGGCAGGAAGGAGAAAGGAGGAGGAGAAGGGAGGAAGCAAAGTTTCTTGTAGGTCCCCACTTGTATTCGTTATTTCTCCACACCCTTTTAATAAATACTATTCTATTTTGTGATGTTCTTGGGTTTGGGGGCTTTAATCTGAATCCAGTAATTTCGCTCTTATTGGTTATAGCTTCCAGAGTAACTGTGGTTGGGGGGGTTGTAACTCAGCTTGCAAGTGCCCTACCTTTCTGGGGGTTTTTTATTAACAATTTTTAAAATGTTACAACATCATTTTTCAAATACAAATATTCCTTTCAGGGACTCCCTCAGGGGGTTCTGCTGCAGACCAACCTAGCTGCCCTCTGCACATGGGCAGACTGTGACCAGACACAGAAGTGCTTAACTTCCCCAGGGCTGGTACATTAGCTTTCCAGCTTTTGCCCTAGAACAACACACCAAGAAGGAGTTGTGGGGAAGGAAGAATTGGATCCTCAAGCCACAAACCTAATACCCTTGCTGGATCAGACCAATGGTCCATCTAGTCCAGAAGTCTATCTCACACAGTGGCCAACCAGTTCCTCTGGATGGCCAACAACCAGGCATAGAGGCCATGGCCTTCTCCTGATGTTGCCTCCTGGCTCTGGGATTTAGAGGCTGAATACCTCTGTTCTGAATGTGGAGGTTCCCCTCAGTCATCATGGCTAGCAGCCATTGATAGATTTCTCCTCCATGAACTTTATCTAATCCCCTTTTCAAGCTCTTTATTCCTGTGGCCATCACTTCATCCTCTGGCAGCAAATTTCACATTTTAATCACTCTCTGTCCTTTTTCCATCTACTGCCTACCAACTTCATTGGATGCCATTGAGTTCTAGTATTTTGAGAGAGGGAGAAGAAGTTCTCTCGGTCAACTCTCTCCACCCCATGCATAATTTTAGAAACCTCCATCATGTTCCCCCTTAGTCGCCTCTTTCCTAAACTGAAAAGTCCTAGACTGTTCAGCCTTTCCTCCTCAGAGAGAAGGGGCTCCAACCCCCTCATCCTCTTGGTTGCCTCTGTACTTTTCCCAGCCCAGCTCCCTCCCCTGCACATCCGGGGGTGGGGAGAATACCTCCTCCCCAAACCAAGCCAAATCCAACTCTTCTCATGGAAGGGGATAGCACAGCCATTGCTCAGGAAATGCTCTATGTGGGTCAAACCAATGAGCCCAGCCAGAAGCTCCACATCCTCAAGGCAATGCTATGGAACAGCAGGTGGCACGTACAGACCTCTGGATGAGTCATTAGAGGCAAAAAATGAAGCTCGCCAAATCTGGGTTAGGAAATCTCTGGCGACTGGGGCTCCAATGTTTCCTCTAAGCTGTGGAGTCTTGTGAGCAAAAATTCTACTTTGTGAGCTACTGGCGTTAAAGTTGTGAGTGAACGATTTGGCTGCTGCTTAAATTAGTTTGGAGCCATCCTTCCTGAGCTAAGACAAAAATGTGTGAGCTGGAGGCTAAAAAACTTTGAGCTAGCTCACACTCACTCAGCTTAGAGGGAATACTGCTGGGGGCTGGGAGGGACCTCCGGGGCGTCTAATGCTAGAGAGCACGCCCTCCAAACCAACCACTTTATCCAAGGGAGCGGCTCTGGAGAGCAATTAAATTCCAGGATATCTCCAGGCTCTACCTGGAGGTTGGCAACGCTCAAACAAGCAGGGGAGCCTACGTGGACGGAATCCTTCCTCCCCGTCCCCAGTTTCTCCCCGGTATTGGACTCGGAGGGCGGGTTGCAGGGGGAAGTTCTCTCGAAGCGTTAAGGGGAAGAAGTCACAATTCCTAGAGAGGCCCCAGAGGAGGAAGGCCACGTGACTAGCTACGGCCACGCCCCCTTCCGGTTGAAAAGTCGCTTTGAAGTGGCCCACTGACGTCACCAGGGTGGTCTCCCGAAAGGGGGAGGGGAGGTAGCCTGGGAGCTGGTGCAGGATTTTTAAAAGGCAAATAGAGAAGTCCTAAAATCATTCTCCGCTTGCAAGATTTTCCTTTGGAGAGCTCCCCGCCCCGAAACTGTTGTGGGTCTCTCAGGGGGTTCTGCTGCAGACCAACCCAAATGCCCTCTACACATGGGCAGAGTCTCCTCTGCAGGTGATCCCAGCTCCGTCCCTTGACTCCTCAGCGGGATCTGGCAGAGGAGGAGGAGGACAATCCTGCGGTCCCGGGGAAGGTTTTTTGGACAGGGAAGGAGGATGAGGGGAGAGGCGAACTCAGCTGTACCTGGATCAGGAAAAGCCCTCGATTTCACCGGGGCTGGGATCAGGAGGGAGCTGTGGGGAGGAGCCGTGCAGAAGAGCCTGGGGGACAGCGCCCTCCCTCCAGATGTGCAGCGCCAGCTGTTCAGGCAGTTCGGCTACCAGGAGGCGGAGGGGCCCCGGGAAGTCTGCAGCCGACTCCACCGTCTTTGCCGCCAGTGGCTGAAGCCGGAGAGGCGCAGCAAGAGGGAGATGCTGGACCTGGTGATCCTGGAGCAGTTCCTGGCCGTCCTGCCCCCGGAGATGGAGAGCTGGGTGAGGGAGTGCGGGCCGGAGACCATCTGCCAGGCGGTGGCCCTGGCAGAAGGCTTCCTCCTCAGCCAAGCGGAGGATAGGAACCAGGACCTGCAGGTGAGGGGGGGGGGCACAGGATATGGCCAAAGATATACCCTCAAAATACATGTGGATCTTGTCACAGTAAAGTTTTAGGCCTCTTTGTAGGAGTGAACAAACAGGTGGACAAGGGTGACCCAGTTGATGTTGTTTATTTAGACTTCCATAAAGTTTTTAATAAAGTTTTTCATCAAAGGCTCCTAAGTGAACTCAGCAGTCATGGGATAATCCTCTTGCGGATTAAGAACTGGTTAATTAACAGGAAACTGAGAGTGAGTGTAATTGCACAGTTTTCACAGTGGAAGGTGGTAGGCAGTGGGGTACTGCAGGGCTTTGTACTAGTCTTTTAAAATTGTTTCTTAATCATTTGGAATTGGGAGTAAGCAGTGAAGCAGTGCAGATGACACAAAGTTGTTTAGGGCGGTGCAAACCAGGGAGGCCTTTGAGGCACTCCAGAGGGATCTGTCAAGGCTGGCCAAGTGGGCTTCAGTGTGGCAAATGAGGCTCATCATGGGCAAGTGCAACATAATGCACATTGGAGCAAGAAATCTTATCTATAAATATAGGAGGATGGGGTCTGAACTGACAGTAACTGACCAGGAGAGAGATCTTGGAGTCGTGGTAGATAACTTACAGAAGATGTCACTGCAATAAAAAAGGCCAACACTATGCTGGGGGTTATTAGGAAGGGGATTGAAGACAAGTCAGCCAGTATCATAGTTGTTGTTGTTCAGTCGCACAGTCGAGTCCAACTCTTCGCGACCCCATGGACCAGATCACGCCAGGCCTTCCGGTCTTCCGCCGTCCTCTGAAGTTTGCTCAATTTCATGTTCGTTGCATCGATGACACTGTCTAACCATCTCATCCTTTGCCATGCCTGTCTTCTTTGGCCTTCAATCTTTCCCAGCATCAGGGTCTTCTCCAGTGAGTGCTCCCTTCTCATTTGGTGGCCAAAGTATTTGAGCTTCAGTTTCATTATCTGGCCTTCCAAGGAACAGTCAGAGTTGATTTCTTTTAGGATTGACTGATTTGATCTTCTTGCAGTCCAAGGGACTCTCAAGAGTCTTCTCCAGCACCATAGTTCAAAAGAATCTATTCTTCGGCGCTCGGCCATCCTTATAGTCCAACTCTCGCAGCCATACATGACTACAGGGCATACCATTGCTTTGACCATGCGGACTTCTGTTGGCAGGGTGATGTCTCTACTTTTTATCATGCTGTTTAGGTTCACCATCATAGTGTCCCCATATAAATCTATGGTGCAGCCTCATTTGGAATACTGTGTACACTTCTGGTAACCGCACCTCAAAAAAAGATATTATAGTATTTTAGAAGATGCAGAAAAGGGTAAATAAAATGATTAAGGGGAAGGAACATCTTGCCTATGAAGAAAGATTAAAGAGGCAGAAGCTTGGAGAAACGATGATTGGGGGGTGATCTGGTAGTGGTTTACGAAGTTATGTGTGGGATAGAGGAGGTAGAGAAAGAAGTAAAAGAACTCATGGGCACTCAATGAAATTAACGAGCAGTAGACTTAGAACAGAAAAAAGGAAGTACTTCTTCACCCAAAGAGTAAACGTGGGATTCACTACTGCAGGACATGGCGGCAGCTACAAGCATAGACAGCTTCAAGGGGGGGTTGGATAAACAGATGGAGCAGAAGTCCGTCGGTGGCTATTAGCCACAAGGTATGGATAGAACACTCTACCCGGGGAAGTGATGGCTCTGTTTTCTTGGTTCTTGGGAGGCAACAGTGGTAGGGCTTCTGGAGTTCTGGCTCCATTGTTGGACACCTCCTGATAGCACCTGGGGTTTGGCCCATAGAGTGTTGGACTGGATGGCCATTGGCCTGATCCAAAAAACCAGACAAAGCTGTGTAACAGAAGACACTACAACAATAGCAGTAATGCAAAAACTCTATAATACAGGTTTTAGTTTAGCACCATCACAAAGTGGCATGAGTATATCTGGATACATGTATGTCTCCTTTACAGGGAACTGTGTTTTTGTGAAGCACTTCAGAAGCCGATGCTATTTATCTTATGCAGAAACAGTATTAGGTATGTTTGTAAAGTTTTGTATGCTTTTCACAATCTGTGTATTTCCCAGCCTTGGCGTCTTAGTATTGTTTTTCATGTTTAGTCACTACTGAGGAAGGTCAATGAAACGAAGTTTATAATATCTGGATCCTTCGTTCCATTTATGATTCATGACTCATCTACATGCATTTTGAAGACTTCCCATGGAATTTGTACATGTGAACCATACTCATATGGACTTTATTATCTTTATTCTTTTTTTTTTACAATCTATTTATTGCTTTTTTGACATACAGACCCACCATGGGATATACAAATATTTGTGTACATTATAACATTCCAATCTGGATTAATAACTCCAGTCATTTCCTCTTTATCCTTTCCCTATCCAGTAGATTACAGCACGGATATACGATTTTGTACATTACTTTAACAACAAAGTTTATAGTAGATTTAAATTACAATTCCTTTAGTATCAATAATGTTACTACCAAACCAGCTTTTTAAAGCGAATCAAATTGCATAAATAATTCCTCCTTCCCTATCTGTGCTGCTTAGAAAATAACAGTTTATATTTATTTATAATTGCTCTATATCTAATGACCCACATATACCATTAAAATTTTATAACCATACTTTCCCTCTTTTCTTTATTTTCCATTTTACTAATATTTTATTAACATGCCTGTTCAAACATTTTCACCTTCTCTTAACATTTTCAACCTTCTGTTAACATTTTCAACCTTCTTTTCAAACATTTTCACCATATACTTTAGAAAAACACACAGTTAACTTAACATAATTGGTATTTCATTTCTTACTATTACCTCAAATTCATTTTATATTCTGATAACAAGAAATCTACCACACAACTACCTTAATTGATTGGTATTTCATTTCCCTTTTTACAAACATTTATATATCTTTTATCATCTCAATTAATTTATACTTAGGGTATTTTATTACTTCCACTACTTATAGAAGAACCTTTTTCTAACTCTCTTTTCAAATATTATATTTTCTTCAATCCAGCAATAAAGAGGGATACAATATCGTTATTCTTTAATATTGGTATTGTTGTGTATTATAGTTTTTGCATTACTGCTATTGTTGTAGCATCTTCTGTTACACAGCTTTGTCTGTCTTTTTGTCAGGGGTCATTTCGTAGAAAAAGAGCTAGAGGAACTCATTAGCATAACTCATTAGCATATGCCACACCCCCTGACATCACCGGAAGTGTGTCACAAGGCCACACCCCCTGACATCACCGGAAGTGTGTCATAAGGCCACACACCCCGCCCCCAACGGTCCCGGCCGCCACCACCGGCCTTGCAGGTCCACCGCCGAGCCCCAGTGGACCTGCAAGGCCGCGGGAGTGCAAGGAAGCCCCGCCAAGGCCCTCCCTGGCCCCAGGCAGGCAGGGGTGGGGAGAGGCAGGGAGGAAGCAACTTACCCTCCCTCTTTTCCTGCCTCCTCCTGGCTGAATGAGGGCCGGAAGTGGGGCGGCCGGAAGCAGGGGGCGGGGCTTCGTCATGTGCCCCGCCCCCATACCTCACCCGGGGGAACTGTGTTCCCCCGCGTTCCCCCCCGAAATGACCTCTGCTTTTTGTGCTTTGCTGTGTCTCCTCTATTGTATTTGTATCCCATCGGCCTGATCCAGCATGGCTTCTCTTATGTTCTTATGTACCCCACCTTTTTGGTTCCCGTTTCCTGTTCCCCGTCTTATGAATCTTCCTCTTTTTGGGGTCCCCACTTCCATTTCAGGTGCAGGAGGAGATCATGCAGGGCCATCACCCTGGAGCAACCTTTCCAGGTAAGATCTAAATGTCTTTCCCAGTGGATGCCCTCCTTGATGGTACCTGGGCTGCTTTTCTACCCCTCCCCCACTCAGTGCTGTGTGGGAAAGGTGCTGCACTCCAGTTTCTCCATTTAAAATATCCCATGTCAGTTCAAAGTATCTGTGTCTTGAGTTATGCCCATGAGCCAAGGGATATAAATCCAAGTAAACATAAACATTATACAGACAATATATTTTCTCCCAGTGCTCAAAGAACAGAAATAGAAAGGACAGAACGCCTTCCAAGTACCCTTTTTCTTTCACAGGTGGTGCCATGAAACCGGTGAGGTATTCTTCGCCATCTCTTTGTGACAAAGGAGTTTATATAAAGCCAGAGCAGGTAAGCGTGGAGCTGTATATCCCACCTCTGGGTGGCTCCCGCCACCTCTCTCTGGCCTGAGAGATTATTCCTCATTCCTTTCACTGCTGTCCTGCTCACTCAAGAGAAGATGAACTTACCTCATGAAGGTTTAAATGCTCCAACATCTAACCATAGTCCTTTTGGACTGCTCTCAGAAGGAGAAGATTTCCTACCTTGGTGTGAGGAAAGAGGGAACTTCAGATCACACCCCTGGGTGCTTCCCCCCACCCCTCCCTAGGCCTGAGAGATTATTCCTCTTTCTTTTCACTGCGGTCCTGCTCACTCAACAGAAAAGGATGGTACCTCATAAAGGTTTGAATGCTTCAGCATATAACCAGAATCCTTATTGATTGACCTTAGAAGGAAAGAACTGCTACATTAGCGTGAGGAGAAAGAGCTTCCCTTTTTTGTCTCTTTTCAGGGTCTGGTGACCTTTGAGGAGGTGTCTGTTCACTTCACTGAGGAGGAGTGGGCTCTGCTGGATCCGGACCAAAGAATCCTTCACAAGGAAGTCATGGAGGACAGTCGTCAGGTTGTGGCCTCTCTGGGTGAGGCTCCCCTGTCCCTTGATTCACAGGTGCCGAAGGGAGAAATGGCTCCTTCTAAGAAGGATGGAAGTAGGGCTCTTCTCATAGGGATTGTCGTAAGAGGAGTAGAGTGGAGTGGAGCAGACAATGGAGAGACTTCTGCATGCCTAGTGGACTCCTCAAGTATTAGTTTGTAAGCAAGCAAGAGAGTTTGTAAACTAAAAAGAACATTCCCCTAAAGGGCCTTTGAGGATTGAACAGACAAATGGCCACGGAAAGCCAAGGGGCAGACAGCCAAAAGGGAGGCTTTTCAACTGGGCCTCCTCATGGGCTATTCTCCGCTCCTTCAGGGAAGGTTGAGATAACCTATCTAGACAGAGGAATCAAATTCATCACTTTTTTTTACAATATTAGGGATTGTTAGTAAACTTTCAGCGTTTTGGGGATCCATCACCAACTTATCCTGTCCTGATAGGATTGTAGTGACTCTCGAAAGGGAGAGGAGCCTTTAGACAGCGGCCCTTTGTCAGAGCCCCGTTAGATGGTGTCAGACTGGGATGTCGGATCTTGTGTGCCTTTGAAGGGGGCTAAGATCCTGGATCCTGGTGGCTCTGTCTCGGCGAAGGTTTTCCTTCACCATGCAGAAGTTTCCTTCTTCTCCACATTGGACCACTGGATCCTTCCAAATCAAAGCAGTCGCGCCCTCCCCTCTCATTGCTTAAATGTTTCAGGAGTTTACAAATTTGGCATTCCTTCTTTTTGGCAGTCAGAATGTTTCTTAGAGTTGGAAATGTGTGGAAGCAGGGCTATTTTTGGGCAGGAACGCACAGGAACGGAGTTCCGGCTGGCTTCAGAGCTGGCCACGCCCACTACAGCCAAAACCTCTGCATGCGTGGCTACAGAGGGAAGGCCTGGAGAGTGACCCCCTGACAACTCCGAGGTGGGCGGGCCAGCCAGTCCAAGGGCCAGCTTGCCCGGGCAAGCCAAGGGAAGCCACGGGGGTGTGGCCTAGCATGCTAATGAGATGAATTGTCAGGGGTGTGGCCTAATATGCTAACGAGTTTCTGCTGTTGGGTGTGGCCTATTGTGCTAATGAGTTCCTGCTGGGCTTTTTCTACAAAAGAAGCCCTGTGTGGAAGTAATTGGTCTGTTTCTTTCCCCCAAAGAAAAACTTCTCAAACCTGATTCCATATCCACGGGAGAAGAAGCAGGAAATCTGCTTTTCCAAGACCCAGAAGAAACAAAGAGATCAGCAGGTATCTGCTTCCTTTTGTGTTGGAAAAGGGTAGGACTTCTTGTTTTATTATTTCCAACGGGAGAACAGAGGGATTTCTCGAGAGGAAACAGCCAGAGAATGTCTATGAAAGTCTTCTCAAATGTGAAAGAGAAGCTAAAACTGGGCCTGTTTGTATTTCAGCTTGGGGAGAAATGTTTACACAGTACTCAGCTTTATTCAGGATGGGTTTATTTATATGCTAATTCAGATACCTCTTAAAGGCAGCTCACAAAAATCAACAATGCCGTAAAACAGTGCACACAGCATAAATCATCAACATTAAAATTAAAAGAATCTGGGGGCATAAAAACAGTATAAATTATCCACTGAGTAGCTGCAAAAATATCTACTGAACAGTTTAAAACCCTGCTCCATGCTGTTTGTCCTGCAAAAGCTGTTCTACAAAGTGTCTGAATACAGAAAGAGATTGGCCAGAGGTCCCTCTAGTAGTCCAGCCTCATGTTTCCTAGAGTGGCCAAATAGAGGCCCTGGAAGGCTCAGAAGCAGAGGAGCAGAGCCACAACTTTTCCCTGGGATTGCCCTTCTGGCAACCGGCCCTCAGGTACCTTCTTGAACATGGAGGTTCCACTGAGTCCCCTGTCCTCTGATGGACTTTACCCTCCAAGGAAGAATCAAAAGCCGATTAATATGTGGCAGGATTTGTCTCCCTTTTAATTTATTTCTGTTCTGTTGTTATACAGAGCTGTTAATGCCGTTCTTTCCCTTGTCGTCTTCTATCTCTATTCCAGAGGTTGATGGTCCTCAGAATAAGTTGAAGGGAGAACTACAACAGTTCGTGTTGGGAAACAAACAGAGAAAAAAGACTGGAACAGAATGGAAGAAGGTAAATGAATCCTCTTCTCCTCAGGCTGCTGAATCCCAGGTCTCTGATAAACAGTGGGGGATCCACACATGGGAGAAGCCATATAAATGCATGGATTGTGGAAAGAGCTTTGATCGGAGGGTCAAGTTTACTGCCCATCGACGCATCCACAGTGGAGCAAAACCATATAAATGTTTCGAGTGTGGAAAGAGCTTTCGTCGGAGTGACAACCTTACTGTTCATCAACGAATTCACTCAGGCGAGAAACCATATAAATGCTTGGACTGTGGAAAGAGTTTTTCTCAGAGTGCTAGCCTTACTGCCCATCGACGTATCCACACAGGGGAGAAACCATATAAATGTTTGGACTGTGGAAAAAGCTTTTCTCAGAGTGGCCATATTATTGCCCATCGATATATACACAATAAGGAGAAACCATATAAATGCTTGGAGTGTGGAAGGAGCTTTACATTTATGGTCCATCAAAGAGTCCACACAGGGAAGACGCATAAATGTCTAGAATGTGGAAAGAGCTTTGCTTAGAATTGCACATTAATGTATACACACTGAGGAGAAACCTCACAACTTAAATAATAAACCCACTAAGTAATTAAAACCAAAGCTGACACAAATGGAGTCCCTTAGGTTCCTGGGTGGGGGAACATGTGTGTGTTATGGGCATAAGAAGGCTTACAGAAAGAGAAAGAAGGATCTATGCTTATTACTCAGTATGCACTATGATATCGGTAAATGCTGTTTTGTTTTTCTTTCCTGGGAATAAGCCCTGTTGAAGAAACTTTAATTTCTGAGGAGACCCATTTAGGATAGCTTTCTTTGTCATATTTTGCTAACAGGAAACTCAGTAGAATCCAACATGTCTTTCAATCCTG